AACACATCAATATACCTCGTCACAACGGCAATCTTTTTTATTTCAACATTCTCATCATAGAAGAGGGCAATGCCGGCACCTTTTCCAATGCCGGGTTGTGCGATACAGTGGCGGAGGCCCAGCCTCCCCTTGAGGTTCATGACATACTTATTGCTTTGCCGTGTTTCAGTGAGGAAGACGAGCTTGGGCTTGTATGTGTGCACGAGGCACACTAGCACTTGAACTGTTCGAGGTTGCCCGAGGCCTCGAGAGTTCCAGCTTAGTACCGTCATGGCTCCTGGTGGGCGCCATCCTTAGCACCCACCAGTTTACCGGGAGCCCCTGGTCCGGTTGCTTCCTTACCGCCATCGCAGCCAAGAAACTTTCCATCCTCCTCTTTCATGGTGCCCTTACTCTTCTTTTTCTGCTCCTTGTTGTTCTATTCGCACGCCTTCTCTTTTATCACGTCTGCATCCTTCTCTCTATCACCCCTCTTTCCAAGGACGGAGACCGTCTGATCGGTACTGATTCTAGTCCTCCTGTTTTCTTGTGGCTTCTTGATCTGAACAGCAGTTCCACTTGTGGGGGTCATCGTCCCTGTCTGTGAGCCTACTGGAAGGTTGTTCGGAGTATCAAGCACACCATCCACCCCTCCTGAAGGCAAGGGAACGACGCCAGCAGGCACAATGAACTGGGGAACCGGGCCGAAACCCGGCTCCTTCGAATCTTCCATCCCAGCATTCTGAAGCCCCTCTGTCGCATGACCCAGGGGTGCAGGTTTGGCCGGGCTCCCCTTGCTGTCCGCCATGAGGTCCTTGGCAGGATCGGAGTCCGCCTTTAGGAACCTCGTGGGTGCTACCCCGCCTCCAGCAGCTTTGGTTACAGGCTTGTCCAGGGGCGCTTGCTGCTTTGTCTGGGTAGTCCCGTTAGATACTTTCAGTGCACTGACCGCCGCTATCGCCTCCTGCACCATCAGGTTCGAGAGCACCTCCTCGGGGATCATCTCGTAGTCAGGTTTCGCCAGTCTAGCTGAGCTCTCTCTGTGCACTTCCTTGCCGAAACTAAGGAGCCGGCGGGCGCTATTTGCTACCGGGGCGACATATCCCCCTCTACTGCTACTATTTTTGTATGGGGAGGCGCGCATTGTTGCCGTGTACCTCATCTCTTGGAGGTCCTCCGGCAACTTACAATCGCGTTGGTCATGCCCAAGGAAGCCACAAAACCCACAAAAACGTGGTACTCTCTCATACTTAACCTCTAAAAAGAAAATCTCATTTTTTGCCTTGTCGTGGGAGGTGATTTTACTACGGAGGGGCTCATCTACATCATGGCTCACTCTAACCCTAATGAAGTCACCCCACAGCTTACCATGGATATTTGTGTCCACCTCAAGGACCTCGCCTAGTTTCTCACCAAGCTTCCAGGCCACCTCTTCATCCAGCATGATTGGTGGCACATCATGGATGCGAACCCAAACTGGCATGTGAGCAACCTCAACATTAGCTGGCCGAGCGCCACCGTCCACAGCCACCATTAGGAAGGCGTCGCCTTTGTGAGTCCAGGGGCCGTTCTCGAGAATGAAACGACGATCACCCTCCCGCTCAAACTCCAGCAGGAAACGATTGTTCTTGAGGGGCTTGTAGTTGAGGCGGCCGCGGAGCCCCCACTTTCTCTTGAGCTCATCGAAGAGGCCCTCATTGCTATAGGGCAGGGTGAGAAGAAGAGCCCCACAGCAATCGAGCGGGTCATCATCGCAGCTCTCTCTCTGGTGAGGTCCAACTCCACTACGTCATCGATCCCTGGGTTCAGGTTCACCGGGAATCTTGGGGCGATGACGTCGCCGCCAGCTCCGAGCCTCCTCATGGCAGCCCTCCCACCTTGGGCGTGGGAGGACTCACCCCGCAGAAACACCCTGGCGAGGCTGCAGCCGTCACCGGCACGGCCTGCAGCGGCCCCGCCTTCCATGGGTGCCTTGTTCTTTTGGTTGTCCTTGTTCGCCATGGAGAAGGGGTTTGCACTTGAGGAGACAGTGTTGGTGATGGGAGGTTTTGATCCATCCCTCGATGATCCTTTTATACTTGGTTCCTGTTGCTGGTCCGATCCAATCATCATACGGTCTGCCGATTTGATAGGTGATTCCTTCCCTCCTATGTGATCTCTTTCCTCTTTCTGTGGATCCATGATCCCTCCGCCCTTGTCAGGGGGATCCGTGTCGTACGAGCAGGCCTTTCCTGGGGATCTTGATTTGCATCCCCTCTCCCCTAAGCCCTGCATTAGATCCTCTCTCATCTCCTTCAGCCTTTCACCGATTTTCCTCAGCGCATCACCCGCTCGGGCAGGTGATCTGGTTGCTTCGCCCGACCGATTCCGCGCAACCCCATCCTTTTCTGCAGCGATCTTGACGATCGCCTTCCTGGCTCTGAGCCATGCCTCTCTCAGTCCCAGGGGATCTACTTCCTTCACGGGCCCTCTCTTTCCAACGAGTGACGGTCTTGTTCATTCCTACGAAGCAAAGATCTTGTTCACCCCCATGAAGTGGATATTTTGTTCATTGAGGGCCTTGGATATATTCGGTACAAGAGTTGCCTTCATCCGACCAGGAAGGGAGCGAAGATGCAAATGTTTCTCTTTTTTTTAAAGGGAGGCAAAAAAATTGCCTCATCGATTAATTTTGGAGAAGAGAATTGCCCAATTAATTAATGAAAATTGGGCAAGAAAACGGTCACCAACCAACCATTCGTGGACTACTCACAGAGCATGCAATCCCATAAGCACACGATCAGCCCAACAACCATACCCAAGTAACCCAACTCACAATGACCACCAACCCCTACAAAGAAACCCCCTCGAGCGAAGACCACAACACCACCAAAACCACAAAGGCAAGCCATACCCTATGAACAATCCAAGAGACTGATTGACCATCCATCAAGCAACTGCAGACGCCTTTGCTGTGGCGGCACTCTTCTTACTTTTGCTTCTGAGAGTCTTCTCCACAACCGTCTTGCCAGATCCAGGACTAGCCGCCTCCAAACGATTTGAGCAAACTGTGAAGCTCTACCTCGAAGAGAATCAGATCAACCTTGTCAGGCACAGTTTCCACGTGGCCAATGGTCACGTGCGAATGGGTGACGGCAACATCAAAACCTCCATCATCCACCAGGGCGAGCGGTTAGCTGGGCTCCAAAGGAGCACGCGCCAACATACCGACGGCACCAACATCATCGGCCATAGGAACCACCGACACGATGGACTCAAGCGCCTCTAGTTTCACATGACATAGGTGAATCCTGCCCCTCGCATGAGGTCGCCGATGAGTCCACCTTCAATTGCTCCACAGACAGAGGCGAAATCGGTTCTCTACATGGCTCCAGATGCTCTGGCATGATCTGTAGCATCGGAGCCACAACCACATCGATGCATGAACCCTAAGAGGCAGACAACGACAAGATGACCCTAGCAGGGGGAGAAACATCCATGAAGCCCAGCTCCACTCTTGTCCTCAAGGTTGACATGAAGCACAACCAAGGGGCGAGACACATCAAATGGTCTGCAGTACCATACGGCACCTGAGAGAGCTCGCTCCAGAAAGTTTCCCATCTTAAGCATCCAACTCTGCATGGAGTCAACAACATCGCGTAGGGGTTAAACCATTTCCTCGAGCCGAAAGGAAGCAATGCCGAGGAGCTCCGAGCGCAGCAACTCCACCTGCCCCTCCAAGGCAGACCGCAACGGCATATCTGCCAAGGCACAGAGGCAACAGGAGCAGAAACAATCAACGTCCAAGAATCATGACAAAACGTCTTGGAGAGGAGTGGGCTTCTATATGAGCTTGGCGAGAAGCCAGATCTTGACGGTGCTCGGTGCAAATGTCAACTATCCCATATCACCCTTCAAAAAAACTATCCTATTTCAGTTTTAGAATTTGTTTTTTTGCGGGTAGGTTTTAGGCACTGCTAACCCTAGATATATTGAGTTAATTGCACAAAACTACCACATTTTTGGCTCGGTTTGCATAAAACCAATTACTCACTGTTTTTTTCAAAAGCCATCGAGTTTTAGTACTACATCCGTCTGGGTTTATTGGTCTCCTTCGTATTTTGTGCCAAACTTTGATCGTAGATTTGACTATCAAAGTATAAGTTGTATATCACAAAACCTGTATTATTGGATTCATATTTGAAAGAGGTTTCCAATGATACTATTTTCTGGGTATATTTTAATATTTAAAATAAAGGTCAAAGTTTGACCTAAAATATAAAAAGGGGTAGTAAAGCAGGTAGTAAACCTTTTGTAGAAAACCCTGATTGAGTAGATATTTCCACCCGATATAGTTTCTATATACGGAGCTTCTACCGTAACTTGGTTCACCAGATATTTCATCGAGTGCGAATCAACCTATGGTTGAGTTGGTTAGGTGGACAGTGGTATTCCCAACCCATCAGGGTTTAAATCCTGGTGCTCGCATTATTCCTGGATTTATTTCAGGATTTCCGGCGATGCGCGTGGGAGGAGACGTTTCCGTCGACGACGAGGCGCCTACGGTGACTTCGTAAATCTCAAGATGATATGCCGGCTCAGTCTCTCGGAGGTGCTCATAGGGATAGGGTGTGTGTGCGCGCGCTTATAAGGGTTAGTGTATGCGCGTGTATATGAGCGCTTATGTCTGTACTTATGTTAAAAAAAAGACATTTCATCGAGTAGCAGTAGTACTATCTCGAAATATCTTCTCTTTCCGGAAGTAGTCCCGGCACACTTTTCTCCCCGGCGCCACGTGGACCGTGCCCGCACGGCCAGGACGCCTCCCACGTACGCGCACGGGGCTTCCTTCCGTGCCGCACCCGCACATAAAACAAACCAGAAACAAATAAGAAAAGGGTAAAGCGGGTCGGAAGGGGAGAAAAGTAAGCGCCGCGCACCGCAATCGGAACGGAAATCCCCCGAATCCGTCGCCGGAATCCATCCATCGAGCGATCCATCCGGCCGGACGGCGAGGCGGGAGCAGGAGGGGAGCGGCGGAGATGGTGAGCGCCTTCTTCCTCTTCTGCGGGTGCGTGGAGCAGGCCAACGTGGCGGTGGTCGAGAAGTGGGGCCGCTTCCTCCGCCTCGCCGAGCCGGGCCTCCACTTCTTCAACCCCTTCGCCGGCGAGCTCGTCGCCGGGACCCTCTCCACCCGCGTCCAGTCGCTCGACGTCAAGGTCGAGACCAAGACCAAGGTTCGCCTCCCTTCCTTCCTGCCACGTCACGATTGCTCTGCTCTGCTCTGTTCCCCCCTGGATTGATGGATGACGGCCTGCCCTAGATCGATCGATCGCCGTTCTCACTCGACGGCGCTAGATTCGCGATTAATACTGACCAACTGCTGTAAGAGAAGCAGATGCAGTTGCTCCTGCTGGGATGGTTGCCCAACTATCTGCAGCGTCGGGAAGGTGGTTGCCATGAGTTGAAACACCCCTGGCCAAGCCTGCAAAAATCGCCAAATTAAGAACTCTCTGCGCCCGGGGCCCATCCCTGCCCCTGTGTCTGGTCCAGTGGAGCGACCCTGTCAATAATGTCATGTTACTAGTTTCTACTTCAGTAGACACATAATAATGCATATGTGTTTGCGGGTTGTTGCAATCCCCATGGAAGCTAGTGGGGAAATTTTGTTTTGCCGTTCCAAACCAGTTCTGGGTTGTCCTTTGGGAGGTGCTTGGTAGTTCAAAGATCAAATAATTGTCGTGTTACAGTGAGATCGCTGCACGCAGGGATGCTAGCTATGGCCGCTCAAGTATCTCTGAATGTGAGGAAAAATAGAGTAGTGTTACGTCTTGGGATGATATTAATATTGGCCGAGAAATTATGTGTGGAAGTGGGAGAACATTGCTTGCACAATGTTGGGTCATCTGCAACTGAATTGGGTTTATAGCTGGAGCAAACCTTCCTTTTTATCTAATTTTTCTTCTGATGGTAGATGTTAGGAAACTCGGCCATAATAACCCAATCGTTCACACATTCTGAGTTTCTGACCATATGATGGATAGGCCATAGTAGTTAAAAATCAAAGGGAAATATGTGTCATTGAAGGGCCATTGTCATAACATCGATGGCTTTGCTTGTTTCTATACTTGCTGAAACAACCGATGATCTCTTTTTCCCTGCAGGATAATGTGTTTGTTCAGCTGATCTGTACAATTCAATACCGGGTTGTTAAGGAGAATGCAGACGATGCATTCTACGAGTTGCAGAATCCCCAACAGCAAATTCAGTCCTACGTCTTTGATGGTAAATATTAGTATCTTGCTGTGCCGTTTATACTGTTTCTTCAAAGCCTAAGCTGGTGGCTGGTGTTCTTTTTCTGCAAAATAGTGGTTCGAGCCATAGTTCCAAGAATGGAGCTGGACAGTCTTTTTGAGCAAAAGAATGATGTCGCAAAGGCTGTACTTGAGGAGCTTGAAAAGGTAACTCCATTAACCTATTTTCCTTGTTACGTGTATTACATACGGCCATGGCACATTGTTACATGTATTTAAATCAGTCTGCTGGATTGATCAGCAATTTGTTTTTGTAACTGCTGAAAATGCTATTCTGATGATACCGACAGATGTTACTACACTTTTGGGAAACTTGGATTTATGATTCACTTTAATACCACTGAAGTAGTTCAGTTCAACTTATCTCACTGCTCAGACAAGTACATGGTTATCAAATTATAAACATCATGTTTGTTTATTTCTTCCTCTGACGATTGGTTTTAATTTCTGAGAACCAAAATCTTGTCTGATCTGTACCATAGTTCAAAGAAGCGCTAGGCGTTAATTGTGCGTTTTGCCACCGCCTTGCGCTTTACTGACCAAAGCGCATGCTTATGCGCACTTATGCACAGATTAAGCGTAGTTATGTGCAATGCGTTTTGCCAACGCCTAGAGCCTAGGCGCGCTTAAGCGCTCGCTTAGGCGCACCTTTTTTAACTATGATTTGTACAATGCTATCTGTTGCTTAACCTTATTTTTATTGCTGATTGCTAATGTGTGTTTGTCCCCTAAAAGAACGGTTCCCCCCTCCATTATTGGCAATGCTTTGTAGTTTCTTGTTGTACCATCTCTTGAGGAACTCATCGTGTGTTATGTACATCATCTTCTTGGATGGTCTGCTGAGCACTGGTATTTTTGGCCTTGCATGGAAACTTGATGAATGCTACCTCTGTTTGTCCAGGTGATGTCAGATTATGGTTACAGCATTGAGCACATTCTCATGGTTGACATCATCCCTGATGCTGCTGTTCGCAGAGCAATGAACGACATAAATGCAGGTATAATGCTGTTTTGAGCAGTAGTGTATCTGTATCCAGAGTCCTGTTTTCAGGTTGTGCAGCCTAGGAAATGTTTATTACATGCTGGATTGTCTTCAAAACTTATCTCAGTTCTTACCCAACTCTTAAATTGCTGTCTTCTCTTCTCATGCTTCATATGGTTGTTCTCTAATAGAGTACACTTGTTTAGGTTCTAAGCAGTTCTGTTTATATGCAATGTGTGCTCACTTTAGCCTGTCAACCCTTGTCACACAGCCCAACGGCTCCAGCTTGCGAGCGTCTACAAAGGAGAAGCGGAGAAGATCCATCTGGTGAAGAAGGCGGAAGGGGAGGCCGAGGCCAAGTACCTGTCGGGGGTCGGCATCGCCAAGCAGCGGCAGGCCATCACGGACGGCCTGCGGGAGAACATCCTCAACTTCTCGCACTCGGTGTCGGGCACGAGCGCCAAGGAGGTGATGGACCTGATCATGGTCACCCAGTACTTCGACACCATCAAGGAGCTCGGGGACAACTCGAAGACCACCACGGTGTTCATCCCCCACGGCCCGGGCCACGTCAAGGACATCGGCGACCAGATCCGCACCGGCATGATGGAGGCGTCGAGCAGCGGCCTGTAGGCCCATGGCCGTCTGCCACGTGTATGGTTTGGCTGGATGGGTTTTCTGCGTGAGGTGGGGAGAGTTGATCTGTTTATATATATATTGTTAGAGTTATAGTAGACTACTTATTTATTTGTTTTTAGTGTGTAATAATACGGGCGCAGGGACTTGGTTGTGCATGAAGATTGTCGAATTCTGGTATTATATAATCATAAAATGGGGAACATTTTTGTGTTAGAATTTACATTGGGTTTACTTCTTGTTTGAGATGTGATGGGAACTATTCCGCTCCAATTTATTTGAAGTTCTAGCTTTGCACTAATTTGGCCAACGCTTCGGGGCCATGGCATGGCGACTCGCCGCTCCTGGGTCAAGAGTTGTAGCTGCCAGGAGCGGTGCGGACTCCACTGTGCATGACAAATGGTAGTTGTTCTATATCAGGCGTCAGATAGATGAGGGAACAGGACACTCCCACGTCGACCTAAATGGACTGGAAGAGTTGTGGCCCATTTACGTTGTTCTAATTTTTGTGCAAAAATATATATTAACTAAATAAAAAATATTATGTATAGAAAATAGTAGATTTATAAATGAAAAGAAAAAGCAAAAAAAAAGATAAAGAAAAGAAAAACGAGCAAAAAAAAGTGAAGACAAGAAACTGAAAAAACCCATGCATGGAACCTTCTAGAATCCTCATAATACCAGCTGGGGGAGTATCTTGACAAAAACGGATGGGGAGTACCTAAACAAAACCAGAACAAAAAAACTGCAAACAGAAAAAGAAAACCCGCAACGAACAAAGCAGTACCAAACCTGTTACTGGGCCTACCCAATTAATTATTATATTAGGTCGCCTGCGGGCGTCAAATAGGGATTCGCCGACTGATGAGTCCCGTCAAATAAGGTGCCACATTCGGTTCGCGCTTGGAAGCTGAATGCGAACCAGTTAGCTGCGGAGGTTCTCCGCCTTGGAATGAAAGGCAAGCATGAAGAAGCTGGCCAGCTTTTGGTGGTAAGTGCTGCAGCTGCTGTCGCTGTGTGTTGACTGTTGACAGGATTTCTTCTTCTTTATGCAAGAGCAAGATCACATGACCTCTTAACTGATGTTTGTTCATTTTCAGAGAGGAATGGAGGCTGTGCTGGGGGACCAAGACACTTGTGCTGATGAGCCTAGGCATGAGAAGGGAAGGACCTCAATCAGGTTAGTCTATGTTACGCCAGAGTTCATTTGCTTTACCTATTAGTACAATATTAGTTAACGCTGCGTTTGGATGTCTGTATCGGAGGCCTCCGTATTGAATTAGTTTCAATTCCAATTCGGTGAGGAAACTGTAATTCCAATTCGCCAGAACTCATGGAATCTCAAGGAGGTTTCAATACCAAATCATGTTTGGATGGCAAACTATGGAATTGCATCTTATTTGCATCAAATCAAAATTTATACAATGTGTGAGTATAATTGAATGATTATGTAGCAGTAAAATTAACAAATATTTTTAGAAATGCATGTGACACCCGTTTGGATGGCAAACTATGAAATATTTTAGAAATTACTAACAATAATAAGTGCTACAGCAACAACTTTTCAAAATAAAGTGCTCTGATGTACTGTGCTTCAAAAATCCAAACTTGGGCCTTTTTTGTGTAATTATAGATCCAACTGGTAAACCTCCTTTTTTTTTGACCCGGGCCATAACCCCTTTCCATTAAAAGCATAACGGAAATACAAAGTTCACCGCATACGACCCAACATAAACGACTACAGCATAAGGAAACTAGAAAGGGGTAAGGCGAGATCAAAGCATCACTGGGAAACCCACTATGAGCACCCGTCATCGAGCAGCTCATCGCGGGGCGAAAACCCAGTGACACCTAGCATCACACAAAACCTCTAGACCTAACAGAACCAGGCAAACTCCAACAGGAGCTATAACAGTCCAACACCACCATGCCCACGGGCAAACTCAAGGGAGACCAAAAACACTCACGCAGGAGTGGAGTTAACCAAACTAGGCAGACATATCGATGAAGTTTCTTAGATGGTGCAGCAGCATCAGTTCGTCGTTGACGGTGGTGCACAGATCCTCATCATCGCCGACGCGTTCGACCTCAGCATCTTGGCTCCACGCTCCATGGACTCCCGGTCCTCACCAGCCATCAAACCTGCCCAGTATGTCAAAAAACCACAAGCAGCATACACCACATTAAAAGGACTTTTAAGAGACTTGTGCTCAAAGGTAGCCTGATTGCGACTGATCCAAATCGCCCAGCACATAGCTGCCAAACCAAAAGTATAAAATTTAGCCCCATCAGGAAGGAAGATGTAACACCAGGAGAAATACTGCCAAAGGTTGTTTGGGCACAACGATGTGCCAAAAACACACCCAACTGTCCTCCACACCACCCTAGCCACAGGACAAGTGAAAAAGAGATGTTGTGAGGTTTCCACTTCATTACAAAACGAGCATTTAGGATTTCCTGCCCATTTTCGCCTTCTCATGACATCTCGAGTCAAAACCGCATCTTGGAATAGTTGCCAGAGAAAAATCTGAATTTTTAAAGGGATTTTTGCTTTCCATATCCACCTGAAATCACATCCTGCCAGATTTCTCTCCAGATAGGAATATACCGATTTGGTCGAGAATTTACCTTTACTCCCCAATCTCCATCGAATGCCATCTGTCTCATCGGAAAGATGCCAAGAGTTAACCACCCCAACCAGATCGTTCCACTGATCCATAAGAGGCGGGTGGAGGTTCCTTCTAAAAAGGTCATCACCCTCAAATTTTTTGAAGTCAGCAACTGTAATTTCCTGATAATTACAGATACTGAACAGGGCCAGGAATTTACAACGCAAGGGAGCAGCACCCCTAATTGGATCATTCCATACCCTGGCAACAAAATCTCCCTGACAACAAAATCTACTTATCTAAGCGCTCCAGCATTCCTCATAGGGCCTGGAACTTCATCGATCTTGTGTAACTAATATTCGGCCAGGGCAGATTACAAGTAAGTAACTATTGTACTTATCAGATAAATTTACAAGAGTTACACTGCAGCAACAGTAGAATTTACAAGATTCAGAAACTGCAAAGCAAAGCCAGGGAAGAACAAAGGGTAGACGAGGGGGATCTGGCAGCTGACCACAAAGAGGAGATGGGGAACCGGCAGCACAGGAGGAGGGGTCTGGTGGGAGGCACGCCGGAGCACGGGAAGAGGAGGAGGAGCGGCGGCGGACGGGGAGCGACAGGCCATGGCGGCCATGGGCAAGGGGAGATGCGGCAACCCTCTGGTCATGGGGTGGCAGAGGAGATGGCGAGGGGATGAGGAGAAGGTTCGGCGGAGGGATTGAGGAGGAGTAATGGCGGCGGGGATGAGGAGGAGGGCCAACAAGGGAGGTTACCTGGCGGCGCCGTCGGGGTGTTCCTCGGCGTCGCCTCCTCTAGGCGTGCGGGGTGGGGATGGCTGCTTCGGTCAAAGCGGGGGATAAAAGACGGGCTCGAAACGTTTTCTTTTGCGGGAGGCAAGAATACAGGCCAAATCGGAGGGGTTGGGCTCTGTATCGTGGAAGGCCTCGGCGTGTGGGATTGATTTCGTCGCTGTATTGGATCGATTTCAGACCGCTGTTTCCGTTGGCATGCCAAACGCCCGAATTGATGGTTTGACAATACGAAATCTAATTCAGGACCCCGATACAGATATCCAAACGCAGCGTAATATGATTTTCTGATATGCATGTTAAGTGAGGCTTTCTCCTGTTTGTATTTGTTTAAACCAGTGCCGATCGTACTTGGCAGTTGCCACTGAAGTGAAGCGAGCCCATGTATACAAGGCACCTGACATACCCTTAGTTTTGTCATTTTGAAATAAGTAGAGTAGTACACAACAACTGTTAAATTTGAAGACGGCTCATGTACTGCTATGTGCAGATATTGTTAGTGCGTGATGCCCCCCAGTCGCGGCGTCCATGTTATTTTGAAAATTTAAACACGGCACAAACACGGCGCAAATTCATTGTAAACTTCGACGAGTTCGTTCAAACTGCAGGGCGTCTGGAGGTAGTCGTCCCGCGCCCATCTCGTCGCGGAGGTAGTCGTCCCGCGCCCACTGCAGGGCGTCCTCGTCGGAGAAGCCGCGCCGGGCTATCTCCTCGTACTCCGCGGGGAGGCTGGG